CCCCCCCCCCCATCATCACTTGGGCCTTGGGGTGGGAAGCCAGGCTTTGGAGTCTGATGAGCCTTGGTTTGAGTTCCAGTGGATGCAGACACGGGACAAGGCTCATCCCCTCTACAAAATGGGGGTCATCTCCCCTGCCCTACTGGGCAATCACAGGTTCAGTGAGACCTGGTGTTTGTAAAGCACAAAGCAGAAAGTAGGCTGTCAATATGCCTCCATCTACCTGATCTTGGGCCTGCTGCTTCCCCAGAAGAGGAAGGTGGGCAGGGGGAGCTGATTCGAGGGCAGGGTTTCGGCTGGCCCTCCCGGTCTCGACTCTCAGCCTCCCGCCATTTGTCACACAAGGAGGATGGGTAGTCCTATCCTCCCATCTCGTAGGTGGGGGCAAGAGCTCCTCCCTAGCTGGAGCCCTGAGAGCTGCTTGAGGGCTGGGGTTTGGGCTAATTCTCTTTGTCCCCAGAGGGAGGCACAGGGGAAAGCAGAAATGAGGGAGGGACAGCCGGCAGACAGGGTGCTACCGAGGGCTTAGCTAGGAGTCTGGTGAATGAAGCACCTGTATGATTCAATGACCCTCCTCATGGAATATAAATTCTCCTACATATCCATGAAGGGATGTGCCCAAGGACGTTTGTCCCAGCATTATTCCTGGGAACAGAAGCTGGGGGCAACTTGCATGACCACCACTGGGATGATGGGGAGTAAAACGTAGTGGAAGCCCACCGTGGAATATTAGGCAGCCGTAAAACAAACAAACAAAAACTATGCAATGGAAGAGTTAGGAAAGGTCACCAAGAGCAAAGATGTGTCATTAGAGACCAAGGGTAAGATCATCCACCCCCACACGTTCCCAATTACTATGTACAGATGCAAAAGATGGACAGTGAAGAAGGCTGATAGGACAAAACTTGGTTCATTTGAAATACGGTGTTGTAGGGGAGCCCTGTGGTTACCTTGGACTGCCGGAAAGATCAACAGTGGGTCCTAGAGCAATTAAGCCTGAAACATCACTGGAGGCAAAAATGACAAACCTGAAGCTGTCCTATGTGAGGCACATCATAAGGAGGGAGGGCTCTTTGGAAAAGATGATAATGCTGGGGGGGGGAAAAGGCAGCAGGAAAAGAGAAAGACCAAATGCGAGATGGACTGGCTTCATAAAAAAGCCATAGGCATGAGTCTACAGGAGCCAAGTGGGGCTGTTGAGGACAGGACTGTGGACGTCACTCATTCATAGGGTCGCCAGGAGTCAGAGCCAACTCAACAGCATAAACATAAGCAGCAAAGAACTAGATATACATGTAGTTACAAGAATAGATCTTGAAAAATGTACTGTTGAGTGAAAAAAACACACAATGAAATTCACAGCACAATGCCATTTGTGTAAATTAAAAGCACATTCGTACACAAAACAACAGTACATTTTATAGAGTTGCATGCATTTTTAGGGGTACATATCCCACCATTAGAGTCTCTGTCATGGTTGGGGGAAGGGGTGGTTTTGGGGGATAAAGGGAAGAAATAAAAATCAAGTCAGTCTGCAGAGGGGCCCAGAATAGATGACAATGGTGGGCTGGAGATGTGTTTCACTCAGCTCTCTCTTGGGTTTAGAAAACAGCCCAGGCCTGATAGTCAAACAGCCCTAGATTGAAGCTCCGGGCTTTTCACACACTAACACTGTGCTGTGGAGAGGCGGCTTTACCTTTCCGAGCCTATTTGTCCGTCTGCAGAATAGTGGATTGTTGCTGTCATTTGGTCCCGAGGAGTAAGTTAAGGGAGATGAACACACGTGGGGCCTACATGCACATCAGAGCCTCCCCATTCCCCCCTGGAAGGATCTGAGTATACAGAGGGTGTCAGCCCCCTGGGGGAAGCACAGGTACTTTGAAGGGTCCAGAATGGGACACCCAGAAAGAAAACTAAGATCGGAAGGCTCTGGCTCCCAGCACTGCCAGCAAGGCCTGGACCATCCTGGGGGTGCCGTTTATGGATGTCAGAGTGGGCAGATGCCGGAGTGAGCTGCCCTCTGAGTACCTGTCAGGCTGCCCAGCTCAGGGTGGCCAGACAATGCCATGCCTGCCTCCATCAGCAGTGGCCACCAGCTATAAATCCTTTGTGTTCAGTTCCCCCACGGCGGGCACTCACAGACAACCGAAGGATCTGGTTTTAGTGAAAGGTCTGTTTCTTCCCAGCACAGAGCTAAAGAGACTGGCCACCCCTCGACGCTGGAATTCACCCACATCCCAAGACCCCACCTGGGGGTCCCCCAGGGCAGGAAGGCCCAGCAAGCCCCAGGCATGACCAGCTCTCCCTCTTCCCTTGCAGATGACGACGAGCATGAGTGGATCATCCGGACATGTCGGAAGGGCTGGGACGAGATCGTGGGTCACAGGCCCACGCTGTGAGCTCTGCAGCCGCCTCAGCCAGGGGTTCTCCTCGTTCCACTGGCGCTGGCTGGCCCTGGGGCAGGCTGTAGCTCCAGAACCTGAACTTGACTCAGGAATAAAGGCTTTCTGCAGTTAGTGGCCCCAAATATGCTTCCCTTGGACTCTTTATTGGAGCAGGATCCTCATTTCACCTGCATCAGAATCACCTGGGCAAATCTGTGACCTAGAAATTCCTGCCAATCAGAAGCTCTGGGAATGGGGTCTAGCAATTTGCACTCCCATGTGTTTCTTATGCACCAGACAGAGACACTCCCCTCCTCTCCTCCCAAGCTTTGGCTTGAGCAAACTGTTCTGCTGCTAAAAAAAAAAAAAAAAAAAAAAAAAAAAAAAAAAAAAAAAAAAAAAAAAAAAAAAAAAAAAAA